TAAGGATTCTATATAATTCCTTTTCATTTCTAATGTAATTAGAGAATATATCACAAATTTTTTCACGAGACTTTTCTTGTCTTATATATGGTGAAAAAATTTGTTTTATAACTATATTTGACACAATTCTCTTTTTTTTTATAACTATATTAATTCGTTAGACTGAAATAACATAGTGATACTTATTTTTTTATTTAATAAACTATAAATCATTGTTTTATTTATTTTTTAAAGTATTAAATTTTAAATATTTTATTATTTAAATACTTGTTCCTTTATTTTATCACCATTTACTAGAACAATTTATTCCATTCCCTCTCTATATTTATTCTTCAAATTTTGTTCCTTTTTATTTATTTCATTCGTTTTCTTCTTCATTCCTATTTAGAGAATCAGTCAAACAAACCTAATATAGTTTGGAAATATTCCTATATATTCGGTGATTTTTTTTTTCTTCGTCTCCTTTTTTTTGGAGTCTTTATGGCGACCAAGTCTTGGGCCGATCTCTTGCGCCATGGGCCAAATTTACGGGCTTGTTCGATATCATGGGACGAGTTTGCAAATCCAGTGGGCTTTTCTTAACCGAGCTCGTTTATTCTCGTGGATCAGGATCTAGTTTAATATCGAGTCAGGTTGGATTTGGATTGGGTTTTAATGGAGGATGGAGTTCGTTTTAAGGTCGGCGAAGTTTACAAAATGATGACTCAGTGTGAATTCGAATCGACGTTTCTCTTGTCGTAGACACTGGCTTGACCTTGACGTCCATCCGCTAGGAAATAGAAGAGTCGGGTAGGTTACAAACTCGTAGTGTCGTCTAGGGTTAGTGTTGCTCCCCTTTTATAAATATCCCCTTCAGTCTTCAATTTTTTCACATCAATCTTCATAGCAAAAGGTAGTTGATCTCTTTAATTTTTATTTATTTTTCTTCTTGCGAATTGTTTTGTATCTCCGTCGTATTTTCACATGAGAAATTACCGAAAGAGAGACAGAAAAAACCAAAGATATATCGATTCGTCAAAGAAAAATAAAATTGTAGGGAAACTTTATCTACGAAAATTGATCGAGAGAAAATTTAGTTTGGAACATTTATTTTGGGCCTAGATTGTAAGGATTTGAAATAAGATTGGAAAGCAGAATTCTACTCAACAAACAAAATATATACACGCAGAGGCATAGATAATACTAACTAAAGAACAATGAATAATCAACAATTAAGAGTA